GAACATGGTAAAGTTTATATTAATGCGCGAATGTTTTATTCGAATTTGGGTATTTATGTTCTTTTCTCAATTATAAAGGAAAAGGAGTCGAAAAAGACTTCACAGAAGCGTTTTACTGGTACTCACTAGCCGCAAAGAGCAACGACGCATCGGGCATCTACAAACTCGGATACTGCCATGAAAAAGGTATCGGCACTCCTAAAAACTCGTCATTAGCCGCTGAATGCTATCTACAATCAGCGACACGTGGCAATGCACCAGGTCAATACAAACGTGGTCAGTGTCTTTTGAAGGCAATCGGCGTGCAAAAAAACACCCACGAAGCACTCTTATGGTTTCATCAAGCTGCGCGACAGGGAAACCTTAGTGCGATGAATCAATTGGGATGTTTGTATATGAGTGGGATGGAGGAGGAAGTAATACGCAAAGATGTGCGAGTTGGATTTTCGTGGTATTTAAAGGCAGCTGGAGAAAGTGTTGGTGGACGAGATTCGACGGCACAATTCAATCTTGCGGTTTGTTATCAAGGCGGTGATGTGATGGGAGTAAACAAGGATTTGCATGAGAGTTTGAAGTGGTATCGGGAGTCGATAAATAATGGGAATAAAACTGCGAAAAAAATGGTTAAATCACTTTTTTGTAATTGAAGTACGTAATGAATTAATGCACTTATAAAAAAGTTAACCACGTACGTACGTATAACGATAATGTAATACACGTACACTTCTTTCTACATTCGAAGAAAGAATATCAATATTGATACGTAGTCATTTGGTAATCTAGTTCTCGGATTTTTTTATACTTGATAGTTTTCATGTTCACAAATTTGGTTTCTTTAATATTCGCTAGTAGGTTGATACATTTAGGGGGTACAGTACATTTTCTGGCGCACAGAATTAATACAAGTTATTTGTGTTCATTTAAATATGCGCAATTTTGGTAATAAGTGTTACTTCCTTTACCATATACACATACGTATAAAGTAAAAATTGGCTGTTTATGTATGTGTCAATGTTTATACCTGATCGTAATGAAAGTGCAAATGAATGGTGTCAAAGGTGCACAAGACGTAGATTCTCTAAACATGAAAGATCTTATTGCAGAATTTTCTTATGACGCATTTGGTGGCTCAAGCTGTACTTAAATATTGTTGCTATTTTTTTTAGCTTTTTATTTTATGCTTTTCAAGATACGATTTTGTATAAAACAAAAAAAAATAAAACTTGTATGTTCTTTACTATTGTCTTCTAGCGACCAAAAAACAAAAAATTCTCTACATTTCAACCATAATATTCAAATGAGCAGCATACAATACCTCGATGGTGCATTTTTCATGAATCCACTTACCGATGAAGAGACAGACACCAATAATGACTCAGATTCACAAAATGATATCTCGATAACCGCCTCAACAACAAATATCGCTAGTAATGAAACATCACGAAGAAATCCAAGAGCACGAGTAGAGTTTGGACGAGGAATGCCGTACGGAATGAACGAAAAGTATCGGTTTGATTCACAAGAGACGATAGTTGCGATACCGGAATCGGATGCTTCAGCTGTGATAACAGAATCGGATGTGAGTGGTGAAATAGTATTTTAGTTATTATTCCTGCTTCATAGTCTTTACATGGTTGACTTTAACATGAAACACTTTTTTCAGGGTCAGAATCAGAATCAGAATCAGGCTTCATCTACTCCAAAAAGAAGATATATAGTGCTATTTGTTGCTATGCTATTGGGAGTAATCATATCTGGTAAGTTTCTCGAAAACTTTTGTATTCATATCGATATACAAGTTACGTATTCTTATTTTTTGGGATTAATTAATATTTGCATATAGGTAGTGCCATCATTTTAATCATGAAACTCTTAAACCCTAACTTTTTGAGTGGATGGTATTAAGAAGTTATTTGTAAAATGTATTTTTATGTATAGTTAAATATTATTGTTTCAGTTATAATTAATAATAAGAATAAAATAAATAATTTAACAATTAAATCATCTTTAAAGTATAAAAAAAGGCAATTAGAAATGTACTTGGTACATGCATTTGATACGATCGATATGCTAAAAATAGACGAAATGCCCGAGAACTAGTGCTAGTCATTCTACATGTTACAAACTTGCATTAATTTTAACGTTAATGTTAACGTTAATTGCTTTGTTTAACCTATTTTTATCCTTCCAAAGAATATCGATATTATTGTAAAGTTGACCAATCAAAAGCTTTTTTGTAGGAATAGGTATATGAACATAAGAGTAGACTTTCTAAGGGGTGTTCAGAGACTTTCGTGTATTTCCAGATGCATATTTTTTATAGAGTATATTATTATATAATTGGAAAACCCTTTATCCAAGTTAAATAGTCTCTACTTCTGACATATGAAACATATATAAGCTTTGACTGTTAAAATTAATACGTTAATAAACACAAATACTGAGTTTTCTCTGTACAATAAATTCTTTTATAATAAAGAGTCTTTCAAGTTTATCGAATACTAGTAACGGTATGAGAAAGTAAGAGAAAAATATTTCTCTCTCATTATGCGCACATTTTCTTTACGATGTTGCTTGTCTAATCGTTTGATAACAGAGAAATATTATCGAAAAAAACTTAGCAAATTCTTCCAAGTGAGACTAAACATGATCAAACTCTGAAAGCATCTGATACGTATTTGGCTTATTCATAAACATGAATTTTTCAATTTTTTAGCCTATGCTTGCACCGTATTTTTCCAGCTTAAATTATGTATAATTGTTAATAAATTTTTATATATTTTTGCGAAACTTTATATAGACACAAAGAATTATTTGTAAATTATCGGATGTTTAAAGAGGAGCATGATTTCCTAAATTACTTATCAACTATAGCTAAACATAGTCAATCAATTTGCATAGCTATATTACATAACTAAGACTCCACTAAGCAATGCCGGAGAAAAATTCCCGGCGCCATTTAATCCGAATCCCACATGCGTCGCATCTAAACTCTTTAATGTATCCACAATAACTGCACGTTTTGCTTGTGTATGCTTCTGACACCGATGTT